TATATATCGTTACAAATTATTATTCTTCATTTCCTTATTATTTTTCATATAATGAATTTCTTGTCGAATTTGTAGAACAATAAAATCATGATTTCTTATTTCTTTATTATATGAGCTTTCAAAGGCATATTAAATGTGTATTTTCAAAGCATTTTTATAAAGACTTTATCCTACATTTAATGAGTTTTTCCAGTATTTGGCTCATTTAAATTGTCCGTTATCTCTGGACCATGATTCACCTCAAGAAATTGTCGACTGGCTTCTGACTTATGCAGTTGATTCTTTATATAAAGAGTGGGGTAAGTTTCACATTAGGTTGATATATATTTTTAATCTGGATCTTTCAACTGATTTAAGTACTTGAAATATCCGTTGCTTGCCTTTGCTTCTTTCCAATTTTTCTATTATAATAAATGTGTATTTTATCACTCTAACTTTCAAGTTAAAAGTGAGACAGGCAACAAAAATCTTTAGAATATTTCGTTTTGTTTACCCAGCTTGCATTTATTGCTAAAACGAAAATAATCAGGACCTTAACTTGGAGCTAATTACAAGAACATAAATATTTTGGAAATTGACTGCTTTGTATTAAATTTGATACGTATACGTTATATCTTGTAGATAATGCAGAGGTTTTAACTGCTGTCGAATATGAAAAGCGAAAAGCTGAAAAAGAAAAGAAACTGGAAGCTATAGATCCACTCAGCACTCTTGATTGTGAGTTTCAGTTTATGATTTATTTTTTTTGTTTATTGTAATTGGACTACTAATTGATAGCTGTATTGTCAGCAGTTTCACACTCAGTAATGTTTTATTATAATATAAATGTGTTAACGCCAAATTTTTTGATGCGTATCGTATATCAGTTCTATGCAGAATAGAAAACATCGTGCAAACTAATGCTTCTTTTTGAGTAAATGCTCCAAATACATGAAAGTCGTGCTTTACTTTTTAAAAAAACTTCAGTTATTTCTAATTCAGTTTCTACTGAAGAATCAAAAGGTGCTGTCGAAGCGCTTAGAGATGCACTGAAAATAGCTGCACATCCGGAGAATTTAGTTGTTTTGAAAGCATGCTGTAAAGTTAGTATTTTTTTCTTTTAAAAAATGTAATAACTCGGCAGTAAATTCAAGTCTTTAAAACGAATTAATATTCAAAGATTTCAGTTTATCATAGAAAATCTTTCGAACTTGGAGATCCAGTTGATGAATAAGGAAGCGCACATTCATAGGGTAAGTACAAGTATCTACTAATCACTGAGCACAGATTTTAATCAGTTGATCACAGCTGCCACTGTTCGCTCAAATAATTCCTTATTTTTGTTTATATCTGGTATTTAACGACATCTCATTGATCTGTCGCTTTTCTGACTTTTTCCTTTGTTTCATATATTCAAATATGAGACATATAAAAATTTCGACCTTAAATTAATTGCATTAGTTTAGATCCACGTAAATTAATCAGCTAAATATGCAGAAAACGATGCCATTGAATCATTTTGAAATGGGTATGCTGTCCAGTAAAAATGGTACAGTTGATGCTGCTGTACGAGCACTACGACTGATCCATCTGGAAAATTTGCGTGAAGTACAGACCAAAATAAATGAAGCCGTTGTAGTGGTACAAGAGTTGACTGCTGATCCTAAAACTGATAAACGCCTGGGCAAAGTCGGATTTTAAATCTTATTTGTTTTCACCAATTTTCAATTTATGTAATTTTCTGTAGTTTTCGGTGATAAAATCATTGAAAGAATATCACTACGGACGTAGTAAAAAATATGACTTTTCTAAATTGAGGTGCTGGTTTTTACTCATTTTGTTTTATCTGTCTTCGGCAAATAGTTTTCTAGATTGTTTCTTAAAGATATTACTTTTTTTAGATACTTCATTATTTTTTAGGTCCTCTTATTCATATTTTTCTAATTGTAAGTTTTCATTTGTTGAATAAAGCTTGTAAAAAGTGATTTTCTAGCTTGACCTTAGGGTTATGCAGCCCGACTACTTCACTTTTTATCAAAAAATCATGAGGAATATGTTTTTGATATTCTGTTTACTTTCATCTTCATATCCTTTTTTTCTAAAATTTATAATTTCTAGTTTGACAATTTTAGTACGGTGAGTTTCATTACATATAATATTAGTTGAAATGTCTTCTACATAGAAAGATGTTTCGTGAATCTTTGGAAGTCATAAATCGGGAATATCTTTTAGTGGTGATATCATAAAAATTTTAATCCGTCCTTTCATTGTACCATACGCTTAATTTCATGAAACTCGGAATTTCAACCGATAGAAGTACAGCTTTGTGTAGTATTATTTGAGAATTTTCTAACTTGAAGATAATTTGTATTCTGTGGTGGCGTTTATGATGGCAACTCCTGAAACACGAAAAAGACCGAACATACTCGTGACTGGTACTCCAGGTACTGGTAAAAGCACATTAAGTGTGGAATTATCGAAGAAATTGGGTTAGTGTCAAGTTTGTAACTAAAAGTTTCAGCATTAAACTTTGTCATGCTTCGTTTAGTGAGAAGTTCCAGAAGTTTTTCAACATAACAGTTCATATTATCGTGACTTTTAGGTTTTCATTACATCAATTGTGGACAGGAAGCAAAAGACAACCAACTGTTTTCAGAATATGATGAAGATCTTGATACTTATGTACTTGATGAGGACATGTTATTGGATCATTTGGAAGTATGTGTCTTTATGATTGTGATGTTTGTCTTTTCTTGTAACATTCGTTTTAATTTTGTTCAAAAAGTTATCTATATTTTAAGCTACTTTTATTACGTCTTTGATAATCATTCGGCATTTTAAAACGTTATGGTTTTCGAGTTGAGTAGTGTTTTTATGCATATGGAATTGATAAGCATCATTAAAATAATTCAGTAGTTATATTTGATTTCACTGATTAAAGCATTTTCATCTGTAAATCTTTGATTGCTTGTTATTCATATTTTTTTATCTTGCTTTTAAAAATTCGCAGTAAGTTTCTTCGTCTTCCATAACTTCAACTTAGTTACTATTTCTGTACAAGAAAACGGTCATTTTAATTTTTGATTTTAGAACAAAATGGATTCGGAAGATGGTGGATATATAGTAGATTATCATGGCTGTGATTTCTTCCCAGAAAGGTGGTTTGATTATGTGTTTGTATTGCGATGTAACAATACTCTTTTGTTCGATCGACTTACTGCTCGAAATTATAGCTCAGCAAAAATTAAAAAGAATATTGAATGTGAAATTTTCGGAATTTTATCAGAAGAAGCTAGGGAATCGTATAATGTAAGAGTTTTTCAATTTTTTTAAATATCGTGATAATGAAAGTGGAAAGCTTTATATTAATAGAGCTTAGTTGCCATAAATCGTCTATCAAAGTAATTGTCAAAGCAGTAGGCTAGATTTATATGATGCGAATTTACTTGTAATCTAGATGGCAAAGATGTGGACCGCTCAGTTCCAGTGTCTGCTGACTTCTCAAGATAGCTAGCTAGTACTCGAAATGCTGAAAGTCATTTAACAGTCATATCGTATAGATTAGCAAAATAGTGATAAAGATGAGAAATAATAGAATTTAAAAACAATCAAGGTGAAAAATAACATGATTTGCTAAAGGGGTACTTTGTAATGGGAACTAGTCGCACAACTATAGTGAGAGATTAAAAAAATGCTTGATCTGAATGAGGCATAGATATGTCTTAAGACGACATATTTCGATTTATGGTAGTTTAATTTCTTGTAGCAAGAAGATTTCTTGTACATAAAGCTTTGAAATAAGCTTTGAAATGGTTGTGACCACTCAAGAGTTGCTCATGGTTGATTTTTTCTTTTTTTAACAGCTTTACTCAGCAAAATTTCTTCTTTGAACTCTATATGGTATGTTAAATAGAATGCTCTATTTTTAAACACATTGGTATTATTACGCAAATTATTGGATATTTAACTTATCCGTCCTCTTTATGTAATTTTTTCGGTTTTACGAACGTAGTGTGGTTATACTGAAATAAACAATAATTTTCAGTCGATAAAAGTACTTTTTAAAGTCTGAGAAAGTTTTCGTATCTGATGTTAGAAATTGACCACCATCATCTCTCGAAAACTACTTGACTGCTGTTACGCAAAGTAGACCTGATTTTTTCAGGATTCGATTGTATATGAATTAGAAAACGAAAAACCTGAACACATGGATAATAATTTGAATAAAATAATCGAGTTAGTTTCGAAATGGAGAAATATTAGTGATCTTTAATTCTTTATTTGTTCTAGAATGTATGTATTTGTGACTTAGAATAAACTTTAATGAGCGTGCTTTTAAGTTGTCATCATGAATCACTGATTATTATTATACATTGCTCTTGCAGTTGAAGGATTATATTTGTCATAACTTTGAAGTTAGAGCATCAGAACTCAAGGGATTGTGGTTATTTTTTGTTGTTAGATAGATAGACAATGGTTTATATTACTTCTCTCAAGAATTCACCTTGTGTTTAGTATTGTGAAGTGTTTGCTTACTTGGAATGATCTATTTATTTAAATTCGTCACTTTTTCGAATCGCATTTCGTTTTCAATATTTCGACGATGTGTAAAATGTGGGAAAGAATACAATTCGGAGCAAAATGGCGTCTTGGAGAAAGAACAGCGTTGGCTATGAGAGGGATCGATTTGAATAATGTGAAGTCAATTCAGTTCTCATTTGATCCGTTTGATCGTAGTTCCCATTCTCTGAGGTGAGGATTTTATGCAACTCGAGAACTCAACTTGGTGGAAGGCAAGTCTTTATTTTAACTTGATTAGGGGCGATGGTGTTTAGTTTAACATTTGATTTGTTTATGGATTTCATTTGCAAATTTTAGGGTCTTTTGGTTTCTTCTAAGCTCGCCATATGTTCAACGAACTAATCCGGCAATGAAAATAATGTACACTATAAGGAATGATCGGCGACAGCCGTACTTTAGTGCAGATTTGAGCAAGTTTCTTCATTATTTAATTGCTAGTCCTTGTAATTTTCCGTCTCTTTTACTACAAAGTATTTTAAAGTCCTGAAATTATTCGATGTTTTTGTAGATGACGGGAAGAAACTTTTGTTTCGATCTAAAGATATGCACGTGATGGATTTGGTGATGACATTCAATAGATTACTTGGGAATCCGGAGCTTGGTAAAAGTGGTATTCGACCACTACCAAAGATTGATTAGAATAATCATTCAAATTTATCAACGTGACGTTTGCTACCAAATTCATTATAATAAAAGCGTTATGTTATCTAATTTTCATCATTTCAGTTTTTACATCATAAAAGTTTAATTTTCTAAGTACTGTTGAAAATCAAAGCTTTTGAAAATATTTAGCACTAAATTAATGACGAATGACATGATTGCTATTTGCACCAAATACAGAAGTATTTTTTCTAATGAAATCTGCTTGCTATAGTGTAGCTCAGTTTTTAGTATCAAACTTTTCAGTGCATTTTTTTCTGACTCATTCATTACAGTTTTCATTATAAGTTTGGACTGTAGACAATTCAAGAAAAATTTAGTAGTAAAAACAAGTTTAATAAATTTAAAGTATCGCAAAGTATTCAAACATTCATCATCGAATATATTGCTGAGTTATGCTAGCAGGTTGAAAAACGCAAGGTTTCAAATTAGCTAGCATTATAATTTTGCCACTTTGTATGTATAATAGTCTCAAGAAGTTAAGAAAAATGATAGCGATACAGTTTTGTGAGTGATAACTGCTAGTTTAAGTTAATTACTAATGTTGATGCTATACATCGAACATATGACGATATGATATACATTTAAATCGAACAACAGTGAACTATACAATATTATCACAGAAGTATAGCGGAGTGGCACTGAATCCTGTTTTGTTCTAGTTCTTGTTGTAGTGCATCACTGTCGGAACTGCTGCGATACCGCGTTGTTGATTTGTAACACTGTATAGGAATGCAAAGTGAATTCCTGAAGTTTCTCTTCATCTGTACATTATATATCTATCCACTCAAATTATTTTTATTTCCTTGTTCACAGTTCATTATTCTATATATTTGTGCATGGACTGTTCATGATACTAGCGCTGACTATGCATTAAATTAGTTTTTTTGTGGGTATATCACGGGCTAATAGCAATAATTTCTGTTCTTATTTTTTCTAAAAAATTTGCGCTTGAAGTAAACTAAAGAATAGGTGTGTCGGGAAATGTATAATGGCTGGGTATTCTGGTGAAAAAGTATATGAGTAATTGGATAAATTATCGAGGCAAATTTTGGCCTGAAATATATGAATGAGTAGAGAATAAAGACTGGGAAGATATAAATGAAAAAAAGTTGGGATGTAGATAAAGAGGGCAAATTTCTGTTCGCATTAGAAGGACGTAGCGAAATATTGAGGTTCTAATGATCTGTTCGTTTAATGTGATATAATATTACTGTCGTAAGCTAATGATTAAAAATAAATGTAAACAAGTTTTTAGTGGTAAAAGTCTTTTATTTAGTATTCGTTGCGTGACATGAAGTTATTTTATGACTACAAATTGAGCAGTCATAGAAAAATTTGCTGACATGCTTCACTATGATAAACATATCAATTCTAAACCACTGCAACTGCTTACTAAGCAAGAAAAGCTTAAATTAAACTATGACTTCAGTTACATGTAAAGATAATTTGTTAAGTAGAGTATGCAATACTTTTCAAAAAGACAAGACAGTAAAATAACTGTGTATAAAATTTCTAATCAGTGATCTTCATAAATTTATTCATTCTATTAGCTTGTCAGATAATCGGGCTATTGCAGTATTCTTTTTAAGTTTTAGGAACCAAATTGTATATAAAAGTTGAAATAATTGTGAATATTAATCTTTAATGAGACTATGAATATTTTCAGTGAATAAAATTCCTATGGTTTTAAAATATTGCCAAAAACATTTCCTGCAAATACTGAAAATTCTGTTTAAAATATTATGTGCATACCTATGATAAATTCGAGCTTTGTTCTCAAAACCACATCGTAAATCATCCGTAATCCAAGCAATTAGTGTACGCCATGCTTTTCCAGCTTCTCTTGTTTTCTGTAATTCCGTTATTTAATTACTTTTTGTTCAACATTTTCTATAAAAATTCTATTTATAATAAAAAATTTGCGTAATTTTCAGTAAAATAAATTTTGCAATAAATATTTTGTCATTTTTAATATTGATGTTTTTTATGTTTTTTTTTCGTGTTTGCATTGAAAATGTTTTAAATGGTAGACATAACAATCGTTTATTATACAATAATTTTTTGAAAAAAAATTGGAATATAAAATTCGCAAAAGTATAAGAGACAAAATTAAAGTTTACAAAAGATTAATAGTAAGTAAATACCTGTACAGCATCTTGGCTGCTAAAATATTGCATAGTGATTTCACCTAATTTCTCCCAGATATCTGCACTGAACAAACTGTGAGTAAGTAATACATGAATCTGACCGATTTCTTTTATTCGTTTTGATACGCTTTCTTCATTTTGCATATTCTCAATGATATCATCAAAAAACCTATGATATTTCTCGCTCTCAGTGTTTTTTAGTTTTGAATTCAAATATACACAACATCCATTTTAAATTGGCTGGTTTTGCTTTTCTTAACAATTAAAACACTTATGCAAATTCTAAACTGATTCTTAAGTTCAATGGAAGTATGAATGATTAAATTGCTGTGTTTCTTAAATGATTTTGTAGTTGAAATTTTTGATGAATTTTCAGTTGGTTGCAGATTCTTCCTCACTTAAGAATTGTCTTAAGTAGTTCAAACGCTATCAAATTTTCTTACTATGCTAGACAAAACTGTGACAAAAATTTGGTAATGAAAATGTGAAAGATTTTTGATGCAAATTCAGATTTTTATAAATAGTTATTCAATTTTTGTTTATTTATGTATGAAACAATCTAAGCAATAGTATAAAAATATTTTTAAAATTTTGTATTCCTAAGTTTTCCCAACAAATTAAAATTTAAAAGAACAATTGCATTTGTTACAAAATGCATCTTGACAGCATACTACGAAGTATTCATTCAAAATCTTTTAATTTTGAAAGTTAACAAGTTTAGTAATAATATAAATAATATTAATTATTTATCCTAAAAATTGGCATAAATGCAGCATATCTTACCCAACCATTATTTTTATGTGTTCTTCAAAGGTTCCTCCAAGATTTTCTGATATGTCTTCGCGATGAAAAGCATCTAATACTGCTGTTTTGTGAAAAATCTACAATCAATGAAAATAAAAATTGGTATATTTCACGAATGAAATGTAAAAAAATACATTCTTACTACTTTTGAAAAAAATACGATAATAATGGTTAAACTGACAATTTTTGTTAAAATTTCAGTACGTAATGTAATAAAACTTTTTTTTTTGATTCAAAGAAATAAAAGTATACATTTCAGAATAAATAAAAGTACTGATGATTGATTTATTAATTTCTTAGATATTCTGACTTGTTTTACTCCTGGAACTTCATTTTCGAGGTCAGTGAGAATTCTTCGCATCAGCGTTTTAATGCTAGGTCGTAGTGCTTTCCAAGACATGCGCAATACTTGGTATTGATATGCAGTTAGCTTTGTGCTCTGACCTAATAATAAAAGTATTCATGCTTCAGTTTTCAATACAAGTAAATACCCCAAGATATTTGCCAAGAAAAAAGTTTTTCTTTTTTTTTATTACAAAATTATCACATAATTAATATTAAAAGCTGGTGTCAATTTTTAGCAACATTTACTGACAATTATGTGTAACTTTAAGTTTGATTTGTTTATCCACTAATTTTCATCAACTTTTTAATATGTTTAAAATTCGAAATTGCAAAATGAAAATAAAGTATTAATTAAATGTAAGAAAATTTAAATGGATAGAAGAAAAGTTGAAACATACATTGCCGCCTTAAAGAGCGATATTTTGTTCTAGCACTTTTACGACTGGTATTCGTTATGATTCCTGTTGAATCTGAACTCATTCTTGTACTAATGTGTCAAGCAAAAGAATTGAATAGACCTTTTAAAATGAATGATTGAATTCAAATATTCGATTTGAGAACAGAGTAAGAATCAAGAAAACGACCTGTGCTAGCTGCAGCTGTCAGTTTCATACGTACATGTGTAAATTTATGCAGATAGAACAGAGAAATAAGGAAAAAATTAGATTATCGTTGCTAAGGCAAACAAAAGTAATTTGACAAAAATAAAAAGAAATGTCTGTGTTTGTTATCGCAGCAAAGAATTGGTCAAATTATGAAGTGAGTCGAATGTT